ATTGAAAGTGCGATAACATACATGGAATATGAAAGACCGAGGCAATTTGAATAACATTTTCCTCATAATTCTTAAGGACCGTATCACTTTGTTTTCACCTGTTGACAGTGTATCCAGGTATGATTTCCCTGCAAGTTTGCCCTCAGTAAAAAAGTGTTGGGTAAAACCTGACCCATGTTAGGTGCAAAAGAAACATACGAACACGCATGGCTGTGTGTTAACATTTTAACCCGATATTGAGTAATTTTCCCAGATTTCTTTGTAAATATTATCAAATTCTTTGTACGCTTATGATGTTCAACTTTTACTTAACAGGGGTAAAACATATCCTTATCATGTTTAGGGTGTGTAACATTAACGGACCCATATAGTTTTTTTTTTAGGATACAACATGTTTTATTTTAAAGATCGGTAGTGTTATTATTTAAGGGGTCAACATTCAGTACCGGTACTGCAAATGTCCCCCTCCTACTCTTTCTTTGTTTAGCCTTTTTGTTCATGCGTCTTTTCCTTTTTTTCTTCTCATGATGTTACATAATATACTTTATGACACACCCGAAAAGCTCATGCTAAATCAACATTTGAAATGGCCAAGGAAATGCTAGATTCAAAGGATTCAGAATCCATCATTTTAAAATAATAAATGTACTCTTGTGAAAATGTTGCCACTCCCCGGCCTTTGTAAAGGGTGATTTAAGGCTCAAGCTTTTTTCGAGTGCATTCATTATACTGCTTTTTTAAAAATTGTAAATCGTTTCCCGGCATATAGCTTCGTTTGGTCTCATTTGACAACGCCCCCTATCGTCAGAGTCAGCAGCCTAACATCTTAGCCTATGGACTTTTGCCCCCCAAAATCGTTACAAATTCATTTTTTGTTTAAACGAAAAGCACATCCACCCCGATGTACATTATCACTAGCTCTTTCATTGGAACCCTCATGTCTCATTGACTTTTGAAAGTTCACCCACCGTAATTTCATTAAAATAGGTCGCAAGCTCGCCATAGCCTATATAACACATGTACAACAAGCCTAACTTTGGACTCAATTTTCCACGCGATTGTAAGGTTATAAGTCAAGCACACGAAGGATAAGAAGCATGAATTACCATAGATCATTTCTGATTTGTTCATTATGTCCATTTCATCCAACCCCCACCGTAATTTTTCCATTTAGTGAGGGCAAGCATTTTGCCGAGGTAAGCAAAAACATGAATATTCATGAACGGTCAGAGAATACAGCCTTTTAGTACGTAACGTATAGTGAGCCTTATCGCTCTTGGAAGTGTAAAATGGCCGCCGCGCGTGCGAGCCCACTTCAAGCGATATCACGGGCAATGATCCGTCCAGGAGGTAGAGGTCAGTGGTTTGTGCCGGCAATGTTCTAGCGAGCGAAAATGAGACAACCGGAGCAATATGATTATCTTAATATAACAATTATTTGACAGTCTGAGCTTCCCTTTGCTTTCACTTAACATAATACATGTTTTGTATAATAATAAATTATTGAAACGATAAAACCTTCCTTAAAAGATATATGCTACCAAATAAATCTTCGTAATTCAATCTCAAAATCCACAACCAGATGGCGGTAATTCTACTAGGTGCATTCTAAATCATAACGAATGGTCTTATGTATATGTGCCTCAATAGTATATATACAGGTAAATTCATCTCTCTGCTGCTGAATTTAAATGTACATAATAAAATTATTACAATATTAACTATAGTCATTGAAAATAGATTACATTTCTTAATGTTCAGGTTCATCGAGAATATTCATGAACGGTCAGAGAATACAGCCTTTTAGTACGAAACGTATAGTGAGCCTTATCGCTCTTGGAAGTGTAAAATGGCCGCCGCGCGTGCGAGCCCACTTCAAGCGATATCACGGGCAATGATCCGTCCAGGAGGTAGAGGTCAGTGGTTTGTGCCGGCAATGTTCTAGCGAGCGAAAATGAGACAACCGGAGCAATATGATTATCTTAATATAACAATTATTTGACAGTCTGAGCTTCCCTTTGCTTTCACTTAACATAATACATGTATTGTATACTAATATATAATTGAAGTGATAAAACCTCCCTTAAAAGATATATGCTACCAAATAAATCTTCGTAATTCAATCTCAAAATCCACAACCAGATGGCGGTAATTCTACTAGGTGCATTCTAAATCATAACGAATGGTCTTATGTATATGTGCCTCAATAGTATATATACAGGTAAATTCATCTCTCTGCTGCTGAATTTAAATGTACATAATAAAATTATTACAATATTAACTATAGTCATTGAAAATAGATTACATTTCTAAATGTTCAGGTTCATCGAGAATATTCATGAACGGTCAGAGAATACAGCCTTTTAGTACGTAACGTATAGTGAGCCTTATCGCTCTTGGAAGTGTAAAATGGCCGCCGCGCGTGCGAGCCCACTTCAAGCGATATCACGGGCAATGATCCGTCCAGGAGGTAGAGGTCAGTGGTTTGTGCCGGCAATGTTCTAGCGAGCGAAAATGAGACAACCGGAGCAATATGATTATCTTAATATAACAATTATTTGACAGTCTGAGCTTCCCTTTGCTTTGACTTAACATAATACATGTTTTGTATAATAATAAATTATTGAAACGATAAAACCTTCCTTAAAAGATATATGCTACCAAATAAATCTTCGTAATTCAATCTCAAAATCCACAACCAGATGGCGGTAATTCTACTAGGTGCATTCTAAATCATAACGAATGGTCTTATGTATATGTGCCTCAATAGTATATATACAGGTAAATTCATCTCTCTGCTGCTGAATTTAAATGTACATAATAAAATTATTACAATATTAACTATAGTCATTGAAAATAGATTACATTTCTAAATGTTCAGGTTCATCGAGAATATTCATGAACGGTCAGAGAATACAGCCTTTTAGTACGTAACGTATAGTGAGCCTTATCGCTCTTGGAAGTGTAAAATGGCCGCCGCGCGTGCGAGCCCACTTCAAGCGATATCACGGGCAATGATCCGTCCAGGAGGTAGAGGTCAGTGGTTTGTGCCGGCAATGTTCTAGCGAGCGAAAATGAGACAACCGGAGCAATATGATTATCTTAATATAACAATTATTTGACAGTCTGAGCTTCCCTTTGCTTTCACTTAACATAATACATGTTTTGTATACTAATAAATTATTGAAGTGATAAAACCTCCCTTAAAAGATATATGCTACCAAATAAATCTTCGTAATTCAATCTCAAAATCCACAACCAGATGGCGGTAATTCTACTAGGTGCATTCTAAATCATAACGAATGGTCTTATGTATATGTGCCTCAATAGTATATATACAGGTAAATTCATCTCTCTGCTGCTGAATTTAAATGTACATAATAAAATTATTACAATATTAACTATAGTCATTGAAAATAGATTACATTTCTAAATGTTCAGGTTCATCGAGAATATTCATGAACGGTCAGAGAATACAGCCTTTTAGTACGTAACGTATAGTGAGCCTTATCGCTCTTGGAAGTGTAAAATGGCCGCCGCGCGTGCGAGCCCACTTCAAGCGATATCACGGGCAATGATCCGTCCAGGAGGTAGAGGTCAGTGGTTTGTGCCGGCAATGTTCTAGCAAGCGAAAATGAGACAACCGGAGCAATATGATTATCTTAATATAACAATTATTTGACAGTCTGAGCTTCCCTTTGCTTTCACTTCACATAATACATGTATTGTATACTAATATATAATTGAAGTGATAAAACCTCCCTTAAAAGATATATGCTACCAAATAAATCTTCGTAATTCAATCTCAAAATCCACAACCAGATGGCGGTAATTCTACTAGGTGCATTCTAAATCATAACGAATGGTCTTATGTATATGTGCCTCAATAGTATATATACAGGTAATTTCATCTCTCTGCTGCTGAATTTAAATGAACATAATAAAATTATTACAATATTAACTAGAGTCATTGAAAAAAGATTACATTTCTAAATGTTCACATTCATCGAGAGAAATCGTGTAAAATAACCGTAATTTCTAGGATACTTGATAGAACATATAGACCTCTTGTTTTTTTACTAATCAACAAGGAACACGTGAATTTATAAAACATCTATTTGAAACTAATTTGTTTCCGATCTAAATCAGTTATTACGAAATTGTTTATACTAAAGAAATATAATCCATGATATTTATGCTACATATACGGCACTAAGAGATGCTTTCTAATATGACAAATCGTATGTATAAGAATTAGTCTGAATACATGAATACATCAGCAATTTGCAAAGTTTATTTGTAGGCGTGCGCACTGCAAGCCTTATGTTTAAAAATGTTCCGTGTAATAAAACGTTAAGGTTCATACGTGACCACTATTCACAAAATTTGTTTTTACCATGCTTCATTTTCTGACGGCATTGGTTTCTCCCGACATGTATTTTGGTGTTGATATGAGCATTGCATGTTGATAATGTGCAAAATATTTCTGCAATCGTAGCATTTTAATTGTTACAATGATTTTTTTTTTTAATGGTGAAAACGATGACAGATACTACGTACCATATCGCAACAGGCACTGAAATAACTTTACAACATTGATTAAAAAACACATCTTTTTCACATGGCCTATATTTTATAATTTCTAGTTACAAATTACAAATTTTAAAATCTAACATACAAATAGTATAATATTGATAAATCCAATACCTAATTTAGTGTAAGACCATTTGAAATGCCTGAAGGTGACTTCTGGGAGATCATTTATACATAGAAAATAGGACGCAAAGTTTGAAATCTTAATAAATACCAACGTGCGATTTGATACCCTGACGACTACTTCTTTTGATCTTTTCAGTCATAAAAATGGTGATATCATTCAAATGTCCTTCATAGTTACACAACATTCTAATATTTTCTCTTGAAATACATTAAGGTAAACTACCAAAAAAAATGTAAACTTAAACGAAATCATGAAAAAAGAATTAATGGAAGAGAAAGTGAGAATCGCGTCATCTGAACAAATTACAAAATGCAAAGTACACATTCCAGAAAATACATCATGCGTAACAAAATTAACATCTTTGTTGAACCTGAGAAAAAAATCAGAGTGATTTTTGAAAGACATTTAATAGTTAGCATACGAGCATTAGATGAAAGACTTTTAAAGCAAACCCATGTAAATTACATACGGTAATACAAACGAAAAAGCAAAAAAATGTACGTTAATAGCTTATTACACCAATATTAGTAAGCTAAATAAACTGAATATCAGAAACAACAACAAAGTATTATATAACTCTTATAACCATGCTTATTAATCGTATTTCTTTTAATTTCCTAATGATTTGTCTCACATGCGATCTATTTCCTTTCCCTTCCCGCCGTTCTATTTTGCTTAGTTTCACAAAGCACAATTTTATTAGTCTGTCATAGAAAACTCATGATATTTTGGTTTACATCATATTTTCTACTTAATATTAATTGACCAAATCGGTGAAATTACATTCTAGACAAGCATATAGGCCTAGAAGATGTAAAAAGACATGGTTAATTTTGTGGAATCCGCTCCTAATCCTAGAGGAATCCACTCTAATTATAGAGGAAACCACTCCAAATCATAATGGAATCCGCTCCAAATCATAGTGGAATCCACTCCACATTAGTGGTTTGAATCCTACTCATTGAGAGTAGATTCCACTCTGTGTCTCTGTGTTGATTTTACTACCAACACGGCATAATCCGTATATGACTCCAAAAAGAGAAGATTCTATCTCCGGTACATTTAAAATGGACGAAATTTACCTAATTTACATATTTATTTACAATGATATCAGATCTTTTATGCGACATCATTTGTTCCTTAAATTTGATAATTATCTACCTCTCCGTCTGTTGATGATCGAAGATCTAATACGAATACTTCTGTTTAATAGTTTAAACAATGAAATGATAGGCTTGATGGCTCAACTCAATGCGCTAGTGCCCTTTGGTAAGGCATTAATCCTCATTACCTATAGTCAATTTTCACATAATATAACTTGAAAATATTTAATGATTCCGATGAAAACTTTAACTTCGTCTTAATGATCATGCTATTTTAAACCCTCTTTTTCAAATATAGTTTAATGAATTAATAGACTAACTCAAAGGTTTAACAAAATTGTCCAGATGACGTAATTGTTTGAGGACCGGTTCCACGAATTATGTTTAATGAACTTCTCCCAGCTTGGATTCTGTGTCATGAGAAATACCCGTCAACTCGGTTCGACCAATGCCAGAGGTCGAGGTTTTCATGGCTAACTTGGACGAGTCGCCTGTCTTGCGCTTGCGGCCGATGACCTTCTGGACCTGTAATAATCCGAACATGATTTATTATGGATATATAATAGGATACCAAAGTTGCCCCCAAGTTAAATTATTGAAAATTTAAATGCCATGCCGTTTGTGATATCCTAATAAACTACCATGTCAATTAATTTTGCAACCGTTTGTGATTGATAAACTCGGCATTTCCTTTCATGATTTCACACAACAAATTAATATAGATGTAAACATTTAACAAATGTTTTTGCTATGAGATAATCAATTGTAATTATAGGAAACATAAACAGTGTGCCACTATATGGCTTCCGCCAATTATTAAAAAATGTTGACAACTGTTCGTAAACCGATCAGCCCCCCCCCCCCCAACATACACACACACATACACACAACACACATACAGGTAAAATGTGCCAAATGGGGATATTTATGTCAACCTATCTTCAACCATGAAATTGAGGATATTGGGATTTGAGGTGGTTTTTCAAAGATTCCTTTTTTTTTAAACGCGAGATTAATAAATAAAACTACATTTTTTCAAAGAATAACAAGAATTTAGCCTCCTGTTTTTATTTTGGATTTTACTAGGCGCTGTTTATTTATCAGAATTTTAAGTGGCGCTCGAAGATGTGGCGTCTCACTATGAAAATGTGAATGTCTTTAAACTCTTCAGGAAAAGGATGGTAGACTCCTCTCGGGTCATTTTTACCAAAATTAGCATAAAATAAGAAAATTATCAACTGGGGATATCCCCAGTTGCCAGGGTATCCCCACTTGGAATGTATGTATACATATGATTATCCCCGTTTCACACGTCTTACAAACCCACATACACATACGCACACAAGCACAAACACCCGCGCGCGCACACGTAAACGAGTGAAATTTGAAGTCAATACTAAAGACAATACGGGAATCACTGTGCACGCATCCATAGACCAGGCAGTTATGTGTTATATTTATAGCTTGTTTAATATTTGTTTTAATCACTCGGGTAATGTGGGCCTAATTATAAATTGTTAAAGCCATTGGGGGTAGGGTCAGCACCATTTGTATTAGATGGAAACATGTAAATTATCAAGGCCATAGATCGGGGAGGGGCCTGCGTGGAGACATCATTTTATTTTCATATCCCTTTACCTTCCCTTCCTTACCTTTTTTTTCCATTTGTAGTTTTCTTTTTGCTATTCGAATGGCAACCCCCCCCCCACCAAACACACACACACACACACCTCGTAGCTAGCCACTGGTTTGATTCAAGTCTATAACTGTCGATTCACTAAGCTTTCATAGCTTGTGATTTACGACGTTTCGCATCATTGTTTACGACGTAGCAAAAGGAAACCAAAATCACTCGACAGGAGGATAAAATAAGACAAGCTGGTTAAAGACAAAGTCAAGTTCTGGTAAAGATGTGAAATGTAACTTCATGAGCTCTCATTATATCTATCAAAAACAGGAGGATTATCGTAGTACAAATATACTATTTAGAAGGATTGCCCTTGTAATGTCCTCATATTCGAAATACGACAAGAAATAGTTGAGAAAGTAATGAAGCTGCATAGTCCCGATGAGGTTTTTTGTTTTGTTTAAACGTATCTTACCTCTGGATGCATGACGCACTGAAACACGAAGAACACGGGTCCCTGATGATGAACAGAGATAATATACGATGGTTAAGATAGAAGCAAGACGTTTATTACCTGATTACAGTACTAAAAATAACTGTTAAAGCTTTGTAACTTTTAACTGTTTGGATCAAAGGTTTGTACACAAAAGGCAATAGTCTTGATGTGGAAGGTGCATTATCGATGGGATGACATGAGAGCCTGATTAAAACAAGGCAATTTTTGTTTTCTTCAACTCTATTAAATATATAGCTATGTCGATACTAGAAATGTAATCCCATCGAAACGTCGGAATTGATATGTTTTAAATAGGTTTGAATCTTCCTTCTATATTTCTAGATCTTTCTAATTACCTCTGGATTGGAACTTGCCCAGATTGTATTGCCATACCAAATCTTAATACATGAATGTTTAATTTTTGCCCGAGTATTATTCTTCCAGTTCTTGTTGTTGTTGCTGTAGTTGTTGTTGTTGTTATTTTCTGTTATTCTTGTTCTTCTTCTAATTCTTGTTATTATTATTATTATCATATAATTTTTTTTAATTATAATCATTGTTTTCATTGTTGACATCATAATTAGTATAACTATCTTTACTATAACTGATATCATTATTTTTACTTTCATTATTATCATTATTATTAATACATGTATTGTTATTCATTTCACCATAACTGTTATTGAATTATGTTGAAATGTTGTAGTGTTGTAATGTTGTTGTCGTTTGTTGATGTGATGTTCCTGTAGTTGTTAATTGTCTTTTTGTTCGCTTGTTCTTACTTGCAGTGCGTTGAGTAGGATGAATAACCACTGCAAGAAGACATTTTTGAACGAAGCTTGTAGCAGAGCAAACATCCAAGTCATTCCCAGCATAGGCATCATGATCAACAAAGCACGAGCTGTAGCCCTGAAAATTGATAATGTAAATACTTTCATTATAGTGCTACGGATACCGTCCCTCGGATAGGATGTTAAATGGAGGCATCGTGTAGAGGAGAGTTACAACCTGTGCACGCTAAAAACCCTCTGCACTATACAGGGAAGAGAGAACCGAGGATTAAAGTAGTTCAGTTCGCTTTTCACCTCCCAGACATAGTGACGTCAAAATACTTATTTCATCATATAATTTGCATAATAATTCATTGCTACAAGACTTTTTCAGTAAACGGATGGTATTACGTCTACTTTCCGGCAGCCAATCACAGCCCTTATTCTTTGCGCGCTTTGTTCCTTTAGCTTCCGTTTATAATCCTATTCCGGCTTTCTGTTCATTCTTGCAAATTGCTCTGACAGATGCAGGACGAAAATATTTAGTTTGTCTGTATTTGTTGCTATTCTTCGAATTTGTAATACTAATCATATCTTTTAACATTTATTCACATCATTATTTCATCATGTTTTTAATTACAGTTGCAAATAATTATGTTGATGTTGCCTTTTCTTCACCGCCACATCTAGCTGTCAAAGGAAATTGAGTATGCACCATATTTAACTCCAGAGTCTCCAAGAGAACGCCATCCTGTACTTATCACAACATCGCTCTTTTTAAATCTTCGATATTTTATTTCTTTCTTCTACACACGGATTTATTGGATAACATGGTATAAAGTCTCACATTTACCAGAAACCCAACTCTCACTTATTACGCAAATATGTCTTACAGGTAGAAAAAATACAAGCATCTCCGTTTCAATAAACACATTAACGTCAAAGAAGTACCGTTAAAGACTTAAAGCCGTCAGTCATCGGTTCCTTCCTTACAAGCAAATGCATACCTTCTCATCAGTCAGGTAAAGAAATCCTCAACATAAACAAATATTATTTAATCTTTCATAAAGAAGCATAATCTTGTATTTCTCCTGTTTAGTTAAGGTTCTTGACTTACTTGAGTCTGTCAGTTTCGCTCTTCTTTGTGTTCGCCTTGAGAGAGATAAAAGTCCGCATGATCAGAGACAGGAGGACGGTGTTAACCTGTAACCATGACAACGAAATATACATAATGAAATTAAAGTACCTTTTAAAATAAGTACAATTAGTATCGGCTAAAAGATTCACCGATCTGTTGACCAAATGTTCAATAATATTTACATCCAACTGAGAGTGAAATATAGCACTGTGGTATGTTATGAAGGCTCTAAACTAACATAATTATGAGAAGTCCCGGTTCAATCCTTGCTCGGTGCATACAAGTCATCCTTGGACAATGTGTTCAGTCTACATTTTGTCCCTTAAGTCTTGTCCCAGATTTCTTTCGGCCGGAAGAGGAATAAAGTGCACCCCATTCTTCTCAGTTCCGCCGCTGCATTACTCGCAAAGCTATAATTGTATTTCTCCCGGCTCGTCGAAGGTGATGTTATTTTCAGGGAACACTTATTACTAAAAGGTTGATGATAAAGCCATTGCCTTTCCTTTGAAATGCAGGTGCCGTAAAACTAAACTATTTTTAAGTGAGGTATATTAAATCCACCAGGTCTCGGCCACTGGAATAGTCGCAACGTCCACCAAGCATTAACTAGAGTCTCTCATAACAGTATATATTTTATACTCTCTGTTGGCTATGCTACTTACCGCTACGACAAGACACACCTCTGCAAGCCAAATCCACATAGTTCCGTATTGTACGTTCAACCAACAGCTATTGAAAAGAAAAGTGATGCATTTCAAATTGAGTACTGAACGTGTGATTATATTGTGAAAGAAACTGACTGGAAACAATTGAGAAAGGTTGATTATGTTGTACATCCCAATTAATGCATATTTTTAGGTCATTACAATCAAATACAGTTCATACTGAGATGTCAACACATACACATGTAGCATGTTCGTTTTCTTTATTTTGTTTGTTCATAATCACGGTTTATATTCATACTATATGTTTAGTCATCTTGTATTATTATAATGATTTATTTGAAATACTTGTGTTTCATTTTAAATTGTATAATGTATGGGATGTTTTAACCGATTAAAAATGACTTTTAAACAAAATATTGTTTTTATAATAATTTATGTTATACCTTCCAGCAATTTCTCATCAAAAGGCGGTGTCAGACGGCCAATTATCTTGATAACTATAATGTAGATTGCTTTAAAAAAAATATATAAGAAATTGGGGGGAAACTGGGGGGAGCAGACGGCCCCTAAAATGGAAACGGGCGGGGACGCTAAATATGATATCTTTTTTTAATGGCCTAATGTGTTACATCTTCTGCTTGAAAAGTTCAAAAGAGGTGCAATTGGCGACAGCAGATGGTCAAGAGCTTCACAGTCGGATATCTTCTGGGTAAAATGTGGTTTGGAAAAGCAGAGTTCGAGCAAAGAGGGGGGGGCAAGGGGACCTCGTTCAAATATGGCGGGGTAAACCGCCGCTGCTTATTATTATGATATAAGCTTCATATGTCTGTATCTTATCAAAGAAATAAGTGAATAGTAGTGAAAAGTAGTGCCTTTGTTGCCCGCAGTTGCAATTCATTTACGCGTTAAACATTACAAATGAAAACATTTCCTGCATCGTATCTGAACGAGCCTTAATAGGTGCGATTGATTCAATGCGATCGTACTAATTTGATATCAATTGCTACTCTGTCCGAAAGATTTTGGAGTTTGCAAGTTTGCGATTGATTGGCGGACTTGCGATCAATCCAGATCAATCGCAATTCTTTTTACGAGACAAGGCCCAAGATTATAGTTGATTAGCTTTGAATACCAGTCGTTGTTCTAGTAAATACTTACGCACATTCACCACCATAGCCATCTATCACACTTCCCATCAATACGGCTACCATCACACATGGAATGCCTATTGGGAAAAAAAGAAACAGAATGGCTTCTGATTTGATTGCTGAATAATTTCACTGTTTTCACATGTTTCATGAATAACATAAGTAAGAAACGGCGTGTTATTCTCATTCATGAATCAATGCCCAAATGAATTTGTAATGATTGAACAAGGTGGTCATAGTACGTGTTCCCATGGGCGTATGGGCCCATTTTCGTCATTAGCCAACCTTTTACTAGGACCCTTATAATTATTAATGACACGGTCACTATCATCACCATAACCTCTTTGAACAACACAATTAGCCACCACTATCAATTGTAAAACTATCAGTCCTTACCCCAGACGCAAAGTACGGTGACCCAACCCTTGACTCGGGCCTTGTTGGTAAGACCACCACCACCACCATCATCATCATCTCCATTACCACCACCAACACCATCACCATCACGCCTATCAATGTTATTTCTATGAGCCCTTAACCCTTGTGAGTACGAGAGGCCTTGTATTATCGTTTTCATCGCCGTCACCATCACCACCACCACCAACACCATTATATAACCTCTATCAAAAGTACCAACACTCTACCTTTTTACTGATATAACGATCAGCCCTTACCTCCGAACCCATAAAAAGCATTAATTACTACCATCGATGTTAGTACTATCATATACTATCAACACTAGCACTGGTTATGCTTCCAATCCTTATCTTGAAGTCCAATCAGGTACCACTTGAACAGGCCTTGTTCGTACGAGATGCCTTACTAAGAGGCTTTGTGGCACACCCAACACCACCACAGCTATCACCACCACCCACTACCCATATTAATTACTACCAATCCTTACCCCAAACGCAGAGTAAGATCACCCAACCCTTGGCTGGGGCCTTTTGAGTCCGGGAGGCCTTGCGGTGAAGCAGTGTCCCTTCAAGGATCATTGAGATGCAGTAAGCCGTCAGCAAATAGTGCATGATACCAGCTATGGCCCGACAGATACCCTTTGGTGTTAAGATGGGTGGATAATAGGTAGAGATAATTAAAACAAAAATTAATAAGACGTGTTATTTTAAGAAGAAAAAAAGATTATCATTAAACACCATGCATTGTCCGGTATGGTTTATTGTCCCAGACATCATGGGTACATGTTTTTGGAAAAGTTGTCCAGAATGGATATTGTATTGGACATTGGGTACAAGTTTTGGGGAAAGTTAATGGTAAGCCAGCTGGCAAGGGTGATTGTCCAGGAAGCATTTTGCAATTATCGTTACTATCATTATAATTGATGTGATCTAATTTGATTTATTGGTATTATGATCATTGTTTTTATTATTATGATTATGATTATTATTATTCCGGTATTCATCCGGGAACTCTCTCCTAGATGTCCCGTGTGGTTTAGCTGTTCAGCATGAGTTAATGTTCAGAAGGCAATGTTCTAAAAAATATTCTCGAGTTGTTTCCGTAGACTCGGACATATTCTCAATAGGCCTACTTGGTCAATGACGACCTCTTATTTGTTTTAGACTACTCACCTTATGTTCGGTCTGGCCCATGAAGAGCATCACCAGTTGGGCCAAGGCCAGTGAGATGGCAAGGCAGATGTGAACTTTGACCTGGTCAGAGGTGTACAATCTACAGGTCAAATCATTAGAATCAATTCGAATCAAATCAATGAATAAACAATGAACTCCAAATTTTGGATTTTCTTCGAGTAGAGGCAAACAAGAATCTTAATTTAGTAGGAATTACACAACCAACATGTCAAATCGAATTAAATCAGGTCAAAAAATGTATAAATATTAAATCGTCAGTTTCGTATTATCTTTATGGCGAGACAGTTGGAACATTGACCCGGTCAGGAATGTACCACCATTAAAGCAAATATAATCAAATTAGGGCCCTCTATTATAAAGATTTGCGTCAATCGTAACTTTAAATTAATCGCAACTGCGTACTTAAGAGATAGCAGTTGAAATTAATTTCAACTTTCGATTGATTCCAGTCAATCAAAATTCTTTATATGACGGGGCCGCGATGTATCAAAGAAATCAAATTAGATCAGAACTTGTATAGATCCTTTTTGGAAAGAGGATTTTACTGTAAGGGTGTCCCGCCTCTTAAATGAGAGATAAATGTCTGAATGAATCGAAGGAAATCAATTTATTGACCAAAAAACATTATTCACCCACAGTTCAAAACCAATTCAATGACATCCAATCAATTTATCGATAATAAATCCTCGATTTAAGATTATGATATGAACATTGGACCCCGAAATACGGGGGCAATGATACTGCCGAAGGTAACATATATACATATAACATCAAACCTATCTATAATGGGCACACACGTTAGACACAAAAAGTGGCCTCTGTAGCCAGGTGGTATTTCTAGATAGGTTGCTACTAAGGCAGGTTTGCCTTTATCTCAGACTTTGTGACAATCGTATGACAATGTATGTGTATCTGCGACAGTGGCGGATCCAGGGAGGGGGGCCCGGGGGACCCGGGCCCCCCCCCCCCCCCTTGAGAAAAAAATCATGTAAAATCACGTGATTTTTACCTTTTTTGGGGGTTGGCCCCCCCCCCCACCTGGCGCTCAAGGGGGGGGGGGGGGTGCAAATCGAATTTTTTTTTGAGGATCAAAAAAAATGTGCTCACTACCCCCCCCCCCCCCCCCCCCCCCCCCCCCCCCCACCCCCCCCCCCCCCCCCCCCCCCCCCCCACTGAGCGAATTTTTGGCCGGCGCGTTTTTCAAATTTCCGGGAGCCAAAAAAAAAAAAAAAAAAAAAAGAAAAATTGTGCTCTGTACCCCCCCCCCCCCCCCCCCCCCCCCCCCCCCCCCCACTGAGCGACTTTTCGGCCGGCGCGATTTTCAAATTTTCGGGAGCAAAAAAAAAAAAGTGGGCCCCCTCCCCTAAGAAATCCTGGATCCGCGCCTGATCTGCGAGGCCCTGCTCAGGTCATGTCTTCGTCATGGGTCACATGTGTTATTTTGAATGACTTCCTGTCAAATGAGATATACCTTTGTAAAAAAAATGTCTTCCCTAAGACATTAGTGCTGCGACATTGATTCGAACCCAGAACAATGTGGTTCACAGTCCGGAGACTTATCCACTAGACTTCAAAACCTGTAATAAATGGATGAACTTACTTGAGATAGGTGAAGATGATGATGGAGAGGAAGAGGGCGAAGATGGAGATGGAATTGAAGATTCGAGTCATTAAAGTCTGGATCTGAAGGTTGGTACCGTCAATCGCACAATCCTGTATTCGATTTTGTGTTTGTAAAAAATAAAAAACGAAGAAAGATTTAAAGCCATACTGTACTAATAGTAGCACTACCGCGAATCCTCTCTAGCGCCATCTCAGGTCAGCTGTAGCAGGATGGTGCTATATGAACTCGCTGCTTCGCTACATGTAGCTGCGTTCTTGGTTATCCCATCGAGTCGTCTGCCTGCTAAGTGGACAGTAGTTATAATTGGGTTACGTACTGTCGGCAGGTTGACCATGAGATGGCGTTGTACAAGAAACAGAACGCTAGGACAGATAATTGTCGTTTAGGTGAATTTTTGTACTGAATTCCAAAGCAAAATAAAAGGTAACTAAATCTATATGAATCATCAGTGTCTTTGTTGGTTCACAGTCTTCTTGTTTACTACAGCTATGCCGAGGTTTGTTTTGGCAATGCCTGGACCGGTCATATTTCGATGCTCCGACAGTGTCACCGACACAATGTCCAGCGACAATTCCTCCAGCAACATTTTGTCCAGGGTTTATTTTTGTAACATGTATAGGGTAAGGGCTGGGACTGTGACTGCATGGGCCCTAGGTAGGGTTTAGGATGTGGGTTTTTTTTTTAACTCTCTATACTGTTCTAGGAAAATGACGTAGAAACCAGCAAATTCAAACTTGAAATCAAGAATTCAGTTCGTGTAACACTATTGATCAACTATATTTCACTTTCGAGTGATAGGTCTAGATTTCTTGAAAGAAATATGACTTTACCTCAAACTGTAGAAGCACTGCGAAACTGGTGGTATGGTTACACGCGCAGGTGACAACAGTCGCGTTGGAAGTTTGAACGTAGCAGCCAAAACGAGACCATCTAGAGAAGAAAAAAAATTAGAGAAGAAAAAAAAAATTTAGAGAACAAAAAAAAAATTTAGAGAACAAAAAAAAATTTAGAGAAGAAAAAAAAATGTATCAAGAATGTATGTGTTTTCTTTCCATCTTAGACCAAATCTACTAAGCTAGTAAAATCCTATCCTGGAGGTTACGTTTACCATAGTTTACCGTTTTGTTAAAGCAACTTTCATGACCAATCTGTGTTAGCCTGGCCTGATTTACCTCTCGTAGAATGATACATGCAATGGAAAAATATATTATTGATTCATGACAAATTGACGGATACACAACAGTTTTCCGGGCTTGAATTGTTTTTAAAAAAGTGAAAATCGATTTGAATCTTAAACTCCATTCGACGATATGAATGGACATGTGTACGACAAGTGTTGCTGAATTACTTGTGAAAATTGCTGATTTCGATCGTTTCAACGTATTATGTACATTCTGAAGTGTGGAATACATTGGAGTATGTGACTTCATCTGGAAATATATCAAATTGGAGTAGCCAGCACTACAATTTTTGAAGCAAGTGAGTGATTGAATTTGTGCTATGAGTTTGTAGCGTCCCGTATATTAATTTTGGCGTGGTGTTTCTTGCTGTCCAAGCTGGTCAACCCAGTTGAAAATTACTCTTGACTCATTGTTTGGTTCAGTGCACAATGTCAAAATCACATTCTTCTTCTCCAACTGTGAATACAAGACAGATAGCTGCTGTCACTGCTCAAGTTGTTGCAGACCTGCTGAAGAACACAGAGTTTGTTAACCTGCTTGATTCTATTGTTAGTTCTGCAGTGGAAAGGAAAATTGATGATCTACTAACAAAGGTAGAATCTCTTCAAGGCCAGATGTTTGATCTTCAACAAGGAATGTCCATGAAGGACAATGAAATAGGTATGCTGAATAAAGCTGTGGCTGATCAGTCCACAGAAATTTCATCACTGAATCTTGCCCTTGATTCGTTGGAGCAATATTCCAGGCGCTCATCCATCCGAATCCTTGGAGTTGAAGAGAAGCAGGGAGAAGACACCGAAGCGGTTGTAAAGGAAATCATAACAACAAAGCTGGGAGTTTCCCTCGAGCCATCATGTGACATTGATCGCCTACATCGTACCGGGTCAGCGAGAACAACAACCACCACTGCCAGACCAAGATCTATTATCGTCAAGATGCAATCCTACAAAAAGAGGAGAGAAATTTTGTTGAACAGAAGAAAACTGAAGGGAACAGGAATCCTGATTGTTGAAGACCTCACCGTAAAAAAACAGTCTCTTCTAGCAAAGACTCGTGCTCACAAGAAGGTCATCTCAGCTTGGTCATCCGATGGCCGTATTTTCGCTTCACTACCCGCAAGTGGAGGAAAATCTGTACGGAAACTGATAAGGAATGAAGAAGACTTACAGCTCCTGTAAATTGACTCATTTCACCGTACAGGATTATGCTGTAAATGGAACTTGATTTGAAATCTCGCTGACTGTTTGCGTTATATTTGGCTACTTCAAGTCTTTTATCATTTTGCTACCGTAAACATTAGTTTAATGTGTACAATTTTTATTTATTTATTTTGTTTGTAATTTTAATTTTATTTTGTGTGTGTGTGTGTTTGTTGGTGTGCTCTGAGAGTGTATGTGTAATGTCTGGCATTTGTGCTAATTGCAGAACTTCTATTACTTCTACTTCTACTCAATCTTCATTTTGTATTGATTGCAACTCTATTATATTCCCATTTAATTATATTATCGATGATAACGAATTTTACTGGTCTGTATATACTTATTTTCATATGAATTCACATGTTGACCTTAGTAAACTTCAGGGTTTGAAATTTAATCCATTCGATACAGATTTCATGAGAACATCTGAGAATGAACTTTTTGATTGTGATTCTAATTCTATAAATGCTGTTGTAAATCCATGTAAATATGTATTTGCTGATGATTTTTGTAGTACTTTCTCATGTAAACATTCACATTTTTCAATGCTACATTTAAATGCTAGGAGCTTAAAGAAAATTTTTGATGAATTTCAAATACTATTATCTTCTCTTTCTTATGAATTTAGTATTATTGGTATATCTGAAACGTGGTTTAGTAATAGTACAGAGTTGTCATTATTTAAGTTGGATAATTATAATCTTCTACAATCATGTAGGGCCACACGTAGAGGTGGTGGAATTGCCCTTTATGTTAAAAAAGATTTAAATGTAACACTGCGATCCGACATTTCTTTTAATGCACCTGCATATGAGATTATTTTTATTGAAATTCAAGGAAAACCGAAGCCAATTACCATTGGTTGTGTATATAGACCTCCAAATACTAATATAAATTGCTTTTATGATAAAATGAATGACATTCTAGTAAAACTGGAAAGTGAGCGAAGAGATGTTTATATTATGGGTGATTTCAATATTGATTTACTGAACTATAACACACATTGCAAAACAACTGATTTTCTAGATTTAATGTTTTCTTTTAATATGTATCCTTTGATTTCAAAACCCACTCGTATTACATCTTATAAAGCATCATTAATAGATAATATATTTACTAATACAATTCATAAAAGTAAATATTCAGGACTCATTTATTCTGATCTTTCTGATCATTTCCCAATATATTGTTTATGTAAAGATAAAGAAAACTATTTTGTTCCAACTCACAATAAGAATTATAAGAAAAGATTAGTCGATGACAGAGGAATATTTATGTTCAAGGAGAAACTTGGTACAACTGGTTGGCACACAATATATGATAACAATGATGTTTTTTTAATATACACAAGACTATGTCATTGTTGTAACTTTCGGAGCCTATGACCTACAAGCATTGCTTTCTCTTTAGGCTCCATCATATTTCTTCCCTTATTCAACTTAGTCTTATGTATCATTCTTTTTTTTTTTTTTGTATAAACGCATCCTAAAATGAGTTCAAAATGTAACATGCTATATGTAATGATGTACTATACAACATGTGAGAAATATGAAAATAAACTGAAACTGAACTGAACTGAACTGATGTAAATGTATGTTATGACTATTTTATTGACAAGTTTCGTACGTTATATGATGAATGTTTTCCTGTATGTACTTCAACATCACGCAAATTTAGTCATAAAGTACAATTTAAGAAACCCTGGATAACTAATGGTATTTTGAGATCAATTAAGCGTAAACATAGAATGTATAAAGTTGCAGTTCAAACATTAAATACAAGGAAGAAAATAATATATAATGATTATAAAAACAGGTTAACTTCTATAATTAGAGCTTCAAAAGCTGAATATTATTCCAGGTTATTCTATTCAGTCAAAGGTGACATGGTTAAAACGTGGCGAGAAATTAATAATTTACTTGGAAAAAATAAACATAGTTCATTACCACTGAAAATGTTTGATGAGAATTTATCTTTCCATTCTTCAAAAGATAAAGCGCAGGCTTTCAACTCTCTTTTTATCAACATGGCTAAAAAACTTTCAGCGTCAATTCCAAATTCATCTAAATCATTTAACGACTTTTTGACCGCACCATGCATGTCCTCTTTGTTTCTGAATCCAACTTCCTCTCATGAAATAATTAGTCTCTGTCATGAACTCAAAATGTCTAAAGCAACCGGTCCAGATGATGTATTAACTTCTGTGTTCAAAAAATGTATACACTTTTTTGTGGACCCATTGTGCAATATCTATAATAAATCTCTTGTCTCAGGAATATTTCCTAACAAACTTAAAGTGGCCAAAGTTATTCCGTTATACAAAAAAGGACCGGTAGGTAATATAGAAAATTACAGGCCAATTGCACTGTTGTCAACTTTTTCAAAATTACTCGAAAAGATTATGTTTAAAAGACTTTATACATTTTTGTTAAAAAATAATTCCTTAGCTTCAGAGCAATTTGGTTTCCGGAAAAATCATTCCACGTCTTTAAGCATATTAAACATTACAAATTATATAGCGAGTGCATTTGATGAAGGGAAATTTTGTTGTGGAGTATTTATGGATCTCTCCAAAGCATTTGATACCATCGACCATCACATCCTGCTAAAATAAATTGCATTATCATGGTATAAGAGGTGTTCCTCTAGAATGGTTTAGGAGTTATTTATTAGGAAGAAAACAGTATGTGATGGCCGATGGTACAGAATCTGATTGTTTGTGTATTAATACGGGTGTCCCACAGGGATCTGTGCTCGGGCCACTGTTATTTCTGTTGTACATTAATGATATTTTAAATTCCTCAAGTATTTTAAAATTTTCATTATTTGCTGATGACACTGCTGTTATTTCTTCTCATAAAGATATTAATTTACTAATTAGTAATATAAATTATGAATTAAGGAAAATAAGTGAGTGGTATATTTGTAATAAGTTGTTTCTTAATGCCGAAAAAACCCACTATGTAATTTTTCATTCTAAACAAAAAAGGATTCCTAGTCATGTTGCCCCGGTGCGTATTAAAGATGATGTTCTTAAGAAAACTGATATTGTTGAATTCTTAGGTATCAAACTTCATGAATCACTTGACTGGTGCCACCATATTACCCATATTTGTTCAAAAATTTCAAGGGGGGTTGGTATCATGTCATTCTTTAAAAAGACGTTGCCGAAACATATATTATTAACTATTTACAACAGTATTGTTTTACCGCATATCAACTACTGTAATATTATTTGGGGTAATACTTACAAGACTCATTTATATAAAATTCATATTCTTCAGAAACGTGCTGTTCGTATAATTTCTAATTCTAACTATTTGACTTCAAGTGCTCCTTTGTTTTATGATTTAAAATGTTTGCCAGTCTTTGACCTCATAAAATTAAACAATTTAGTCTTCATGTTCAAATTACATAAACAAGAGCTCCCATCAATATTTAATAGCATGTTTAAAACAAATTCTTTTTACCATTCTTACGAAACCAGAAATAAATCAAACTATCATTACCCCTTTGTACGTACTTCCTTGACCCAACACACTTTAAGATTCCAGGGTATACATGATTGGAATTCCTTACCTTATAATTTAAAAAGTAGTTCAACCCTATCAAAGTTTAAATATTCATGTAAACAGTTCTTGTTTAAATCAAATGAAGTGCACTGAGTAGATTTTTTTTTTTTCTTTCTTTTTTTTCTTCCTTCTTCTGTACAATGTTCTGCCTGCGGTGTGTGTTGGTGTGTCTGTATGCATGTGAATGAATGAGGGTGGGTGTATGTTTGTTTTGATAAGTTTTACAATATTTGTTATAATAATTTGCTTGTATGATTACTTTTGTACAGGGCCCCATTCTCACAAGCTTTGCTTTTCTTGGGGTCCTTCCGATTTTGTTGTTAATTTGATATGTATTTTATTTTGAATTTTAATGGAAAATAAATGAAATGAATGAATCTAATTTCTTAAAACGTAAGAGTTTTTTTTTTTTGAAGAAAATTTTTAATTCAACATGTTCAAAATATCTTTTACATCACTGAATTCTATGATTTATTACTTCAATTTGAAAATGGTAACTAGCGATATCAGGTAGAATACCTAAAAATAAGGAAATCTAAACTTGAAATGCATTATAAAAGCTTTAGTTTTAAATCGACACTTGAAGAGTGAGAAATTTTCAAAATAGTCGATTTACTATGAAAACGTGTTGAAATCAAGAGTATAATGGTTGAAGCAGTCACAGTAAAATCATTAAGTTACCATTTTGGTGATGCTTTCACTTCTCGGTCCTCTCAAACATTAATTTAATATCTAATAAGATAATGATGATAATAATAATGATACCAATATTAATGTTTACCCAGGAAGCCTCATCGATCAGCCTCAATGGTAATCTTCCTGAGGGCCCTGCAATTATTATTACCCCAGCGATTACCAGGTACCAAAGTGACAAACGTGGATTAACATCTTGCAGAATGACGTTAATGTCGGACTGAGCTTCAAACCCTCAACCCTTAAATTGAGTGTCAAGTACATGGACCAATATACCACGACAGCTCCACAGACAGATTAGGGTGTGGTTGAAGAAAAAAATGCGAAATCTTACTTGGATACGTCTTCATCGTAATACCGGCAAATTCTCTCCTTGAATCCTCCCTAGAAATGAAATAAAAGATGAAACTTGCACAGATTTGTTGGTTTAGGCCATAAGGGTCTATTTTCTGTCCTGCTTTTCCCTTTACCAAGGATCCTGTTTCATAAATCTAATCATCAAAATCAAGTGCCGAAGTAGACCATTTTCGTAATGCAAACATATTCATACTTAAGTCCCTCGATACGAAATGTATAAATCGAGTTACATTGCGAAAATGATAGCCTATTCCAGAAAAAGAATTGCTCTCACCCTATCAAATGCATTGAATTCAGTAGCTTTTAACCTTTACTAGAACTTGCTATCGATATCAAATACAACGCTTTGGTATAAAGTCCAGAATGTGGTTCAAATGATCATATTGGAAGCATATGCGATTTTACAATATTCAATGATTGTTGTCACGGTTGAAATCGAGTCTAAAGTGATGAAATTGTAAATAATAAACTCATTATGTTGTATTGCTCCCTCTCAAGACAGATATTACTTTAGCTCTAAAACAATGTTTCTTGACCACAATCGACCGATTTGCTATTCCCATTTGGAAATTCTATATCAGAACCGCATATTCTGAGATTGTCATGGTCGAAGCTACCATGATATGGCTGTAGGCGCTTTTTGAAATTTACCGGGAGCGTCGGTAAACTTTTGATAATTCAATTTCTCGAAAGCAAAAGTGTTTTAGGGGCTAAATTTTCTTGTTCTTATAAAATATTCACAGGGGCATCCAAATAGATCAAAATATAAAGAATTACTATCAATCCAATTTCAAGATTTCCAAGAACGCTGCATTACATTTAAAGGTATTACAAAGTTTTGGTATGGGGTCATGAGTTTGGTTCAAATTAACATATTGGCAGCATATGCGTTCCTACAATATTCATTGATCGTTGTCGCGGTTGAAATCGAGTCTAAAGTTATGAAATTGTAAATTACACACTCTTTATGATGTGTACCTCCCTCTCAAGGTCAAGATATTAATTTAGCTATGAAACAATGTTTCTTGACTAAAATCGATCGATTAGCTATTCCCGTTTGGAAATTATATATCACAACTACATATTCTGAGATTTTCATGGTCGCAGCTACCATTGCACGGCCATAGGCGCTATTTGAAATTTATCAAAATTTACCGGGAGCACCGGTAAATTTTTATATTCAATTTTTCTCGAAAACAGAAGTGTTTTAGGGGCTAATGTTTTTAGTGCTTATAATATATCCACAGGGGCATCCAAATATATCAAAATTGTAAAGATTCACTATCCACCCAATTTTCAAAATTTCCCCAAACTTTGTATTACCTTTAATGAAACAGGGTCCAGGTGTGATCCCGAGTCTTGTCTTTGATGGTGATGTATTTTCAACTTTCAAAGTTAACTCCCGTTAATATGTACATGCACTTATATATCAACAGATTATGAACCGTTTGATCTAGTAAGTATGATATGCTGTTGGGTTATTTGTTAAATTCTTCTGAATTGAAGGCTAAAAATGAGCTAGAATACCAGGCTGAAAAATATACCGAAGAAGAAGAATGAAGAGAAAAAAGTTGGTATGACGTTCACCCAAAATTAATTAAATTACTTGTAATATAATGTCAATTTTATTTTGTAAAAACAAATCTAAATATTACAAAATTAAATTCCCCTAACGATAATATAAAAACTAAAACAATTAACGTCAAAATAAATACAGACTAGACAAAATAACAGATATATCTCACCGGTTCGCTGGACGCGAATGTCAGCAGTATTTCTTCATCTTTACCGAGAACGATCTGCACTCCGTGCTCGTCGACGAGGACGATGTCGAGGACAATGGAATTGATGACGAGCTTCGTATCGGTATGATCACCAACGCCTTCAATAACGTTGTCATTCCCCTCAGCACTGTCACCCGGATCGTACATAGTGGTGAGGGCGGTCACTGTAACATCAATGACACAGTATGGTATATTTATGTACACATAATAATTTGCAACATTTATGAAGCGTTTAACACCATGTTTCTAAGCGCATACAGTAACAAGATAACAGGAATGAAACTAGAAAGAAAGATAGAGAGAGAGAGAGGGAGAGGAACAGAGAGAGTTAAAGAGAAAGATAACAAATTTAGCAGTGCAACTCACTGATGAGTTGTAGATAGTGTTGTGATGGCTGTCACCGTAACATCAATTTATCATAAAATTTCAAAATCATATTCAACATTACTGATAAAAAATCCTAACATGTCAGCAGTTTTACAATTCGCACAAATAAACGACTGCCAATATCAACATTACAATTCGTATAAATTATCACTGACCTTCTCCCCACTTTTTTATCATCTTATTTCTTCTTTTCTTTTTTTTGGAATAATTAACTTTTCTCTCTTGACCTAGTAAAAACTTATGTGAACAATAATTACAGTAGACCTGATATAGATCGAAAGATTTTTCTTTACAATTACTGTAATCTGAATCATGTAATTTTGAAAATGTACTTATGTTTTAAAATCGATTAGTAATTATGTCTATGTGTAACCTGATCTATAATTTTGAATATAATGGCGGGGAAACTCTTTCTGCAATTTATTTATGAGGGGAAAGAATACAAAAGTATAAACAACAAACCAGACATTCTTACCTCCGACTGCAAAGGGTTTAGCAAAGGCAACGCTCACTGTCTTCTCGCCTGTCACGGACTTGATCTCAAAGTCGACGGCTTTATCAGCCTCAAAAGTTTTGTTTGCGCCTAAAAAACGATATAAAGATGATGATGATGTTTGTAAAATGGATAATGATCTAGTTGAAGTAGTAATAATATCAATAAAAATAATAATAACAATAATATTAATAATAATAATAGCAATAATAATAACCATAATAACATCGATTATCTATATATGGCCTGATGAACAAATTCGCACGCCAAGCGCTTCCCGCTGATTTAGTTTTCGTAGTAATCGGAGGCCAAGTCTAAGTTTTTTTCTTTCTCACCGGGTGTTAAAAATATGACGTCATGTGACGCTGTGTAACCGTGGGTTCAATCTTAACCTCCCTTGTGAATTGCAAAATGATCACGCATGGGTTAACCCTTGGCCTAAACCAGTTTAAACCATGGGTTAGATTTCAACCTCCATTGTGAAGTGGGGCCTATGAATTTCTGAAAACGCAACCTTTTGACGTAGGGGAACGGAGGAATACTTTTAGAGCATGATGCTTTATATGCCTGACGTAGGACTTCCGTCAGTGATTGAAGCGGCTTTTGTTGCTTCATAATTATGTGAAACTGTTATCATATAAAAATGAATGTTTAGGTAACCGAATTGAATTATTGACATATGCACTAGTTGCCTAAGCAAGCAATTTCCAAAGGTCTTTGTGATCGTGTTACGTTTACAGTCTTATCTTTTCATAGCACCTTCTCCCTACTTTCTACTCTTCTTTTTCCCGTTTTCGTTAAATAATGTGAACAATAATTACAGTAGACTTGATTTAGATATTAAGATATTTCTTTACCAATACTGTAGTCTGAATCATGTAAATATGAAAATGTACTAATGTTTTATAATTGATTTGTAGTTTTGTCTATGTGCAAACTGATTAATAACTTTGAATATAATGGGAAACTCTTTCTGAGGGGAAAGAATAAAAAATTATTAACAACAAACCAAACATTCTTACCTCCAACTGCAAAGGATTTAGCAAAGGCAACTCTCGCTGTCTTGTCGCCTGTTACGGACTTGGTCTCAAAGTCGACGGCTTTATCAGCCTCAAAAGTTTTATTTGTGCCTAAATAATGGTACAAAGACGGCGATGATGGAAATGAGGATGAATATGATAGCAGTAGTAATAATAGTAGTAATGATTAATTAATAACAATTATAGTACGAAAACTACAATTGTAAACAGAACAATATGAATGCATTGACGCCCGTGTCAAACAAAAGAACTTCTCTCGAACTATCTGAGCAATCTGTAAGAAGTCGTAGTATCAAGGATAGTGGAGATACGAAGGAAAAAGAAATGCCTTAAAACGGACCAGAAACGAACAAAATGGCGCTGGAGGGTCAAGCATTAGTGATTTCGAAAAACGAAGAGTAAGGTGACCTAGATTGCATGATGGGAAATACGCTACAAAATTCGACAGGAATCGGGCTCGAGAAAAGGACCTAGATAGGAATAACAAGCACTGCGTGCAAAACGAATGGGACTTTTTGGCATAAGATAAAACGCCAACAAGAACAAGACATTGATATCGGTTGGAAGATTTTGCTTTTCACCCTAATATCAGTAAAAATTTAAAGTTATTAATTTTGAAATCTTCTTGACCAAATTTATTGTTCTTTTTTTTTAATTCAAAGAAAAACTCATGTCCTACCTTCGCGTACGATGCTTAGAGTAAAAGAACAGTCTGTATTAATCAGTCCATTATTATCAGTCACAGTGTAGATAACTGTTATTAGATTGTTAACAGAGACTTCAACCCCAGGCTGATGGTCAGAGACAATGGATTGAATCCCAGCTGCATCAGTAGCTGTTGGTGGTGTCCATGTGAAGGAATTGAAAGTAGTTCCAACAGAAGCTGTGAATGTTTGGTCTTGGGGACAGGAGTGAACTTCTGGTGGGATGACATCGACTGGAAGATCAAAGAAAACAATTTCGGAGGGTCAAATCTGGCTGACATGAGCGCTGTACCAGAACCCACTATTATTACTATTATTATTATTATCTATAGCTAACACCTGTTATTTGACGTATTGTTAACGATTTCTCTCAAAAAGTATTAATCGGGTTTAATTCAAAGTTTTTTTAAGATATCATACCAATTAAAGCTCGTAAATATATTTACTTACTGAAATGTATAGAAATAGCAATGTCATGATTTATTTAACTTCAGTAAAACTGTTAAAGTTTATTTCTACAGTTTATATATATCATCTCGGCAGCACATATTATGATTCATCGCTTTATTATTCACACTGTTTGGGACTACTGCCAGAGTGTATAATTCCCTGTCTAATAATCTATCGACATAAGTAAATATTTATATTTTTTATATCTATTCGTTCACTTTTGTACCATTAGAGAATATTTTATCTTTCATTAATATTATAGGAAAGATCAGAGTATTTGCTTTTATTTTAATCCCTTCAGGTAAGGGCTTCTCAATAAATTATTACGTGAGCGCCATGAGAAGGGACTGTTTAAGCCGTGAAAAGCGATTTTACTTTTTTATATCAATCAACATGATATGGATCACACGGTGATTCTTTATCATTACAATTCAACTATCAAATTAGTTTAACATTTTCTTTATAATGAATTACTAAATTCTTTTTTTGCAAATAAAACGTTGGATTTCAAATGCAAATAAAAACAAACAAACATATATCAATGGAAGAAAATATGTACACAATGAAAGTGTACAGTTTAATGCATACACAAATTAATAACAATGTTTTAGCTTCATCAAAATATTATACAATATGAAATAAATCCGTTAGTTTATGAATACAATAATGCATATGATTATATCTAACATGGGACGTAGGTAAGGTAGAAGGTAGGTGTGTTTAATATAAGTTCAGCTGTTTATATTGAATGGATATTATGAAATGATAGTAACGGATTTTTTTTTGTTAAAGCCCAGGTCACGAACACTAGAACTGCAATTGTATTAGAATAATGTACTTGCATTAACGCCCGTGTTTCTACGTGTCAAACTAAAGAGCTTCTCTCGGACTATCCAGAGCAATTGATAAGAAGTCTGTAGCTTCTAGGATAGTGGAGATAGGTAGGGCAAAACAAAGGCCTCCAAAACGGCCCAAAAATGGACAAAATGGCTCCCGGACTGTCCCGCTTGAGTGATTCCGGAGAACGAAGAATTCAGTGACCTCGGTTGGCTGTTAGAAACTATGTCTAAAAAGTTTGAAAGAATATGGATAAAGGAAGGGACCTAGAAAGGTCTTGCAAGCACTGCGTGCTAAATCAATGGAATTTGGGTACATGATGAACAGGTGATGACGCGAGCTATGGCATAAATGGCCATCCATATAACACATTCATGCAGAGTATAAAATGGCGTCTAAAATGCCCCCTTGACAGATTTTAAATATATGGCACCAAGTTGCACTGCGTATTGCGACTCGGAATGTCACTGCAACATTTCAAGGAAAAGGAGACAGAAAGGGGGCGAATTGTTCAATTTGAATAAATCCATCCACTCCTACCCTACAAAGCAAACTGAAAAATACTATTTAAGAAATCCAAAAACCGCATTGGCTGTCAAATCCATTAGACACACCGGCCCAGACATCTGGAACTATCTGTCCGTTGTAATAAGAAACCTTAGGCCATTGTATTTTTTTAAGAAGACGGTTAAAACTATGTTATTGTCTAAGTATTGATCCTGTCGTGTGTAATTCTACTGTATACGTGTTCGTGTGTACATTGACTGTACATTCAACAATGATGTGTAATCGTCCATGACCTAGCATCGTATATCCATCCATGAATGAACCTGCACTCAATCAAAATTTATGAGATTTATTCTATTATTACCAACGCTCCTTCCCTCCCCTTTCCTTCTCTTCTCTGCAAGTCACTCTTTTTTATTTTTATTTGTTTTATTGTTGTATCTAAGTTGAGGGCTGCGGGCACGTCAAGCTACTTTGCTTATTTATGTAGCCCTCCTGCATCTAACGTATGTTAATTATGCATTCAATATATTTGTTTCAAAAATTTCGTTTATTATCTGAATAAAATTATATACACTTTATATATTATATAAAACCGTATCATATTTATGAAAATAAAAAAAATAAAAAAGAAGAAAAGATGCAGAAACCAATAAATCATATCAAAATCAAAAAGCATTCTGAAAAATGACGTCATACCCGATACGTGTTATAATCGGGCGGAAACTATGCGGAATTCGTATAAATACCCTTGTTCAAATGCGATTTACTCACAACTTTCCGTGTGAACATTTACCATATTTAGTATCATTCGAAGGGGCACTTCATTGCGATCAGTTTGAAACCGTTTGTCATCTGCGCGCAAAGTACTGCACGCATTAAACGGGCTGTTATGTAATGTGTAGTAAAATCATCATTTTGGGCGATAACTTTGCACTAACGTCATCAGATTTTTACTAAACTTTGCTCACAGTTGTCACTTATATGGATACATTTGTCTGCCTCGTTTCATTGACGTAGGGATAAAGATCATAATTTTAGAGTAAGTTTAAGTTATTTATCAATTGTATTGGAAATGCATATTTAAACGGCAATTTTATCTAAGAGGGTCAGCGTTAAGGTATATATTCTATTATTAGGATGGAAAGGGCATATCTTCAAGTATCGTATACAAAAAGGTATGGGTTTGGCTAGACAGGATGGAGCTACGGCCACAGACAGAAAGCCAATTTCGGAACTTTAGAGGGCGCTATTTTTGTGCAAAGCTATTGGATCATAATTTGGATTACATGGGTGCAAGTAATATTTCGAAAAGCAAATACAGGGACTCATTACTAGACTTTCTTGATAAGCTCGATTTAATAGATGTGTGGCGTAAGCGTAATCCTGATTTAAAAAATTCACTTTAAGACAGAAGCAGCCATTAGTTTAGAGTAGATTGGAATATATCTTTATTTCCTCGAAAGTAGACAAGGTGGTAAGAAAGTCTAAAATGTTGCATTCTATTACACCTGACCATGCTGGAGTTAGAGTGGAATTTAACAATTTGGTCGATAGTTTTGTTTATGGGAAATCGTATTGGAAGTTCAATAGTAGTCTATATGTAATGAAAACAAAATTGTAGATGGGGTAAAAAAAATTAAAAAAAGATTTCTGAAATAGAGGAAACTTGGCGGAGTCTAATAACGAGCAAAATTAAATTTTGGGATTTTATGAAAACGAAATTAAGAGAAAATATAATGAAATTCTCCGTAAAAGAGCAAAACTCAGAAGAGCCCACATTAAAAATTGGAAAAAGACATTAAAGACCTAGAATATCGACTGACGATTAATGATAATTATCATAATAGTATTCAGGATGAAATTGACATGAAAAAAATGGGATAAGAGAAGCTTTTCAACTGTTCACGTCAAGGGTTAACAGTCCGTTAAAGGGCAGAATGGTCTGAAGAAGGAGAACAAAATTCGAAGTTTTTTTAACAATTATGGAAGTCAAATGAAAGGAAAAGTGTGATTAATGAGATATATAATGAAAATAAGGAACCTGTGAGGGATGGCAAATGGATTTTGAAGATTATCAGGGAGTTTTACGAGAATTTATATGCATGTAAAAATGGTGAAATTACAGAGGATATCGAAAATATGGTCTTAAATGAATTACCCAAATTAAGTAAAGAAAATAAAGAATATTGTGAAGGCCAGATAACACTGGCAGAATGCTATCAAGCAGTGAAGGAAATGAAATGGAACGAATCACCAGGCAATGACGGCTTCTCGGCTGAGTTTTATTTCACGTTCTGGCCAAATTAGGGAAAACATTAGTGGAGGCTTTGAATGAACGTTTTTAAAAACGAAAATGTTATCAAACTCACAGAGACAGGGGGTAATTACACTAATTGAGATAGAAGGCAAAGACTCTTTGTACATGAAAAAGTATAGGCCAATTACCCTCTTAAATGTAGATTATAAATATTGTCGAAAGTACTAGCTACAAGGATAAAGGAGGTATTGGAGGATATTATTCATTATGATCAGGTGGGCTATGTTAAAGATCGGAATATTGGGGAAGCGGTTCGGTTAATTGATGATACATTCTTTCAATCCTTGTATCAGCATGTAGGATTTTTAATTGCCGTATATTTTGAAAAGGCATTCGACTGCATTTCCCATAAACTTTTATTTAAAGCTTTAGAACAGTTGGGGTTTGGTAAAGTTTTGTGTTCTTGGGTTTAAACCCTTAACACTGATGTTAGCAGTTGCGTGATGAACGGGGGACACTCAACAGGTTATTTTGAAATTAATAGAGGTGTAAGACAAGGTGACCCCCTATCTCCATATTTATTTGTATAGTTATCGAATTACTAGCTCGTTATATTAGGAAAGATGAAAACATTGAAGCAGTAGGATTTGGGAGTACAGAAATAAAACAAGTATTGTACGCAGATGATATTACATTACTCTTAAAAGATATGGATTCAATTAACAGAGTGAAGACTTTGTAAAAAAAAGTGGATTGAATATAAAAATGGATAAGACAAATGTTATGTGGTTAGGAGAGGAAAGCGATAGGCCTGGTTCACCTCTTTTTGGACATTGGGTACAACATATACAAATCCTAAGGGTATATTTCGCACATCATTCCAAAATAAAAGATGATTTAAACTATAAGGAAATTTTGAGCAAAATTAAAAAGACGTATCGGTTGGTGGAGCAACGAGATTTAACGAAGTTTGGCAAAATGAATTCGTTGAAAATATATGTATTTTCAAAACTAAATTATTTTTCGTCTCTTATGTCAGTCCCACAGAACATTTTGTGAAGAAATCGAAAGGATTTCTTTTAATTTTATTTGGACAATATTTAGTAATAAGTGTATATGTCTGAGCAAGAAAACATTTTTTGATGTCGAATTAATTCAGAAAAGTATACTTCAAGCATTAGATATAATCTTCTGAGGTCATTTATAACCGATCGTACATTTTTTTTCAATTTGGGTTCTGCAACTGAACGCTTTCTTAGAATTCAAAAGATCTTTTCAGCAATCAGAAAGAAAGAATACAAAGTGATTTCATGGAAGTGGACACTGACAATTTTAAAATAGAATTGATGATATTTGGACGTTTACAGAAACTATGTAATATAAAGTCTAGGCTGCTATATGATAACTTCATCAATGAAGTTTTTTTTAAAAAAGAGTATACATTACATGTTAACAGACGGTAACTGTCAATTTGATTTTCGAATGATGGCGTTGAAAGAAAAATTCACAAGGATAAAATGTGCAATGTTATGTAATAAACATAGAGAGTTTCAATAAAAATAATTACAAGGGGCTGTATATACGAAAAGAGAGCTCTTTCAATTTGGTTTTGAGTCGGACCATATTTGTTCCTTTTGTAGACAGGAAGTAGAGATATACCAACATTTATTTTTACATTGTCTTAAAGTTAAACGATTGTGGCAGGAGGTGATTAAAAAGCTACATTTAATCGAAGTTCACAGTGATGATTGGAACCCATTTTTATGGGAATATCCGGCAATACTACTAGAATATTTGTAATAAATTGTATCATATTTCTTGTAAAGTATATCATTTTTATTTCTAGAAAATAAGGAACACTGCCATCTATACGGAAAGTAGTACATATGCTGAAAGATTACAGAGACGAGGAATACAACATAGCCTTCAAAAAGGGAAAACTGGGGATGCACTTACATAAATGGGAACAAATCGATGCATTTTTATTTTAATGGATGTGGGTATTAATATTATTTTTTTGAATTCTCTCTTGTACAGGTGGACAAACCGGAACAGGGTGCATGCAGTGTGTGTGTGTGTGTGTGTGTGTGTGTGTGAAGGTGTGAGATGGGTGGGCTAGAGGGAGGGGGTGTCATGGGTATGTGTGGTGCGAGTTGAGGTTGTGCGAGTGTGTGATTGAATGGAACTGTAAAATTTATACCTTCCTCTAAGGTTATTTTGATTGTACATTTTTTCTTTCATGTAGTAGTTTATAACCATGTATAATTTGAGATTTTCCTATGTTAATTATTTATTGATTGATGTAGTTTATGTAGTGTTTTATATTGAAGATCTTGTTTTGTATTACTTACTGTGATTATCTTTTGAAATGTGAATTTTATGAGGAAGGAAATAAAATATCATTTAAAACAAAAAAATTGGAGCATGAAATTTGGCATGGCAATGTGATTAAGATATACTGTAAGAAATTGAAACAAATTGGATTTTTAGGGGTCCATTCTTCAAGGATTTTTTTTTTAATTTGGTTTCGGATTTAATTTTAATTTCGAGTAGGAACATTGCGTTTTGTAGGTCAGGACAGGTCAGACGCGTACGCAGGATTTTTTTCTCGAAGTGGGGGTTTTAAAATTTGAAAATCGCGCTGAAAATTCGCAACGACTCAGCCAGCCGCTGAATAAACGGGGGGTGGGGGTGGGGGTGGGGGAGCTCATATATTTTTTTCTCCAGGATTTGATGAAAAATTTCGCAACGAATCAGCCAGCCGCTAAATAAGCGGGGGGGGGGGTAAGAGCACTTTTTGTGTGTGTGTCCCGAAAATTTGAAAATTTGGCCGATCGATATTTCGTTCCGTTGGGTCACCCATTACCACAAATTTTTTTTTAAATAATTTTTTTAACAAAATTGAGGGGGGTTTCGACCCCCAAACTCCCCCCCCCCCCCCCCCAATGCGTACGCTTGGGACAGATTATACGTTGCAGATAAAAAAAAAAATACCATCCCTCAGACTATCTAGAGGAATTCGTTAGAAGTCTAGGATAGTGGAGATGGTTATGAAGGAAGAAAGAAAGGCTTAAAAATGGACCAGAAACGGAAAAAATGGAGCATGCGCGGACTCGCATGAGTGATTTCGAAAAACGAAGACGTAGTGACCTAGATTGCATATCAGAATTTCGGCCTACAAAATTTGAAAGGAATCGGGTAAGAGGAAATTACATAAATAGAAAACACATGCACTACGTGCAAAACGAAAGGAATATCCTGATAAGAAAAAGGCCGAAGAAAATTATTTATAGGGAAGAATGTGAACGAAAAAAAGGATTGACGAAGATCGTCATTGCAATAAGTTTCCAATGCCATACACTACGATACTCATAATAAGCACTTGGGTGAAACTGAATTGTCTATTGCGCCCAGGCGCGTACGCAGGATTTTTTCAAGGGGGAGGGGGGGGGTTAACATTTATAAATCGGGCCGAAAATTTCGCAACGACTCAGCCGACCACTGAATAAGCGGGGGGGGGAGGGGGGTGGCGGGGGGGGGGGGTAAGAGGACATTTTTTTTTTTTGGCCTCGAAATTTGAAAATTTGACATTTTGCTCCGTTGGGGAAGGGCGGTAAGGTCACCTGTTGTAGGTCAGCCATGGGGATAATTATTTTTTTTTTTTTTTAATAATTAAAACAAAACAAAAAAATCCAAAGGGGGGGTTACCCCCCCCCCCCCCCTGTGTACGCGCCTGATTGCGCCACAAAAATTGCCACTCAGGTAAACTGCAAAGTGACACACGTAGCTTAATGGTAAAGACGCAACCTTTTAACGTAGGGGAACGGAGGACCAATTTTAGCACATGATGCTTAATTTGCCTGACGTAGGCTGCGTCACTGACTGACGCGGCTTTTGATGCTTCATAATTATGTGAGACTGATTATCGCATGAAAGTGGTATGATTTCTTTTTAAAAAACATTGGAAAGGACCCCAAGGAAGAACAGTAGTGTTCTATAAACATTGCTGAATTGGGCTATCCACCGATTTTTGTCTATGTACATGTATAAATATTTTACTTTGTATATTTTACTATGTATAATATTTTTATCTGATTTCGGAAATAAAAACAACAACAACAACAAGTATAACATTTAAATTATTTAAATTTTATTGTGAATATCAAGTTTTCTTTTTCAATGCGAAAAGCAAATAAAAGGTATGTTATAGATTTGGACCCCTGTGAAAAACAAAATTCGTGCTGATTATTGGTTGTTCCACCCAACAAGTGTAACAAAAACAAAACAAATAATTAAACACGATTTATTTGAAAGGATTTCTCAGAAACTTACCTATCACGCGAGCTGTTCCATAGAGCTCCATACGGAGGCTGATACGATTATGGAAGGTCAGGGGTAGCAGGCGGACATAGCGACAGACTTGAGGCACGGGTAACGTGTTGTTTACCACAGTGTCCTGGTCAATATTGCCATTGAAGACCTTTATCGAGAAAAAAGTATTATTTTTGGACCATACGCTTAGTCAGAGGCACAGGGGGTCTACTCCCCCCCCCCCCCCCTGTTCGTCCACTTAAACATAGGTAAACCACTAAACGTGTGGCTTACTTCGTTCCAACGGATCTTAATCGCTTCGTTGGGTTACACAAACTGTCGTAAATACTCAAGCCGTAATTTCCAAAACGTCGGGAATAACGCTTGTGAAATACACTCCCCTTATCACCAACGTGTCGGGTCCAATTTACCGGACACTTTCTGAAAAATCTACTGCAAATCTATGAAAACTCATGTCTCGATCCAACGCGAGTCTAATAATCTCGTAAAGAGTTTGTAAAAAAAAAACGACAGCGATTGACACTCATTATGACGTCATTATACGATTGTATGGGCATGATTTCAAAATTGTACTTGTAAAAGATTAGCCTTATACCAAGGACCATCTTTGAGTAATTATTATCATTAACATTCAGGTTACCCGACCTTTCGTGAATAAAGGGCACGTTTTCAGAAATGGGGGTAAGTTTTCACGTAAGGTCGTGTAACCCAACAGTTCGACCTGACGCGAATAACCGATTGAACGAAGTAAGCCAAAACTTACTGGTCAAAACCTCACCCCTACACCGGGTTTTTTACAGGGTGTGTGGCTTGTGGTGCGTGTTTGTGGGAGTGTTGCGTGTATGTGCGTGTGTGTAAGTGTTTGTGTAACTGTGTGACTCTTATGGATGTGATCCCCGATACCCTTATTCATGCCCCCCCCCCCCTCCTTCCGTTAAATGAATCTGGAAACGCCAGTATTTTCGCATATGGTGCTTCTGTATCTCGTAATTTCACGCCCCAATGTAGTATTGTAAATAGATAGACACCAGACCGACAACAGACCAAACTAAACAAATTACATAAACGCCCACGACCAAGAATTTGTCGGTTTGTAGTCGATATGTAGTCAGTTTGACGGTATGACCGAGGTATGAGCATTTACCTTGTCGGTGCTAGGGGTGCTGAGGTCTTGTACAGTATCAAATGACACTCCATTAACACTGCAGGCGATCTTGAAGCTAGTTACCCACTGTGAACAACAATCCTGACGACCTTGTGTTGCCAATCCAAAGATGCGATGCGGGGTTAAAAGATCAACCTTAATGAAAAATATGAACGATGATGACTACAATGATAATGATCAAAATGATAACAATAAGGATAATAAGGATACTAGTAATATTAGTAATGATAATGAATTATGTAACTGGTATGAGAATTATAATTTCCACAATCTTTATTACTATTATCATATTGTTTTTATCGTGATTTTAAACAAACGTCAATATATACATATTTTTCAGAATAACGATGCTCTGCAGACGAAGAAATAGTTTAACAAACATTCTCCCTTAGGGCTTTGTTAACTAGTTTTTTTCTTTTGACTTTAAAAATGTTTTCGTTATGTATCAAAATAGCCCATAAAATTTAATTATGTGTGTGTAGGGGGTGATGTGAGTGTGTGTGTGAGAAGGTTCATGTGATTTGGTTACCTGTGTCTAGGTGCATTCATGTTACTAGGGGCCTCAAACATCAGTATGTACATACATGTACAAAGTAAGATCATTTATATTGAAATTGCCACAAGCTGTGGTATATATTGAGCTGTTTTGCAGCGAGTTGTAGTGTGAAGAGGCTTAAGTATTCCTGAAGGTATTGTTTAAAGCTACACGCATGCCACAGGCTTTTCTTTTTTTGGCGGTGCTCTTATTAGCATAAATATCAACAGCATTCCTTTTAGGCATATGTATACTAGGTTAACAATCAGGGAATGTGACCTATACAACTTTTGTACTTAGGGGGCTAAGATAGGTTCATGTGATTTGGTTGCTTGTAACTCGGGGCATTCATGTTATTAGGGGCCTATTTGTATAGTTTTATGTTTCCTTTGGGACGGGGGGGGAGCTCTTGGAATATAAGATTGTGCAAATATTCACATGTATATGCTTGTGTGTATGAATGTGGTGTGTTTTGTGGTGTGTGTGTGTTTGTGTTTGTTTGAGGGAGGGGGATCTGGGAGTACCAGTAGAATAACCTCCAGTTTTTTTTATAATTATTTTGTATATATTATATTGTTTTTGTTTTTGTTATTATAAGTGAATCATATGTACAATTGACTTAACTTATGTTTATGTACTTTAAGTTTACTTACAATTTTTGCTCAGTTATTTATACTGCATATGAGTTTTTGTTTAATTATGTTTATGTATAAGCAATCAGTGTTAAAAACGTTTATTTATTTTATTCAATTGTATGTTTGTATTACACTATTGGAGGAATAAAACTAAATTATTAAAAAAGAAAAAAATGTGTGTGTGTGTGTTAGTCTCTGTCTCTGTCTCTCTCTCTCTCTCTCTCTCTCTCTATATATATATATATATATATATATATACATGTATATAATACAGTATATGTACATAAATGTACGGAAATACACATACCCATACACAACAGTTGTGCAACTCTCGTGGAAATAAATACAAGGCGAAAGAAAATGAAAAAACAATGATTACGTCCCCCCCCCCCCCCCATCTTTTTTTTAATTTTTGTTAACAAAGTTTGAAAATGTCTATTCATATTCGAGAGAATAATGGTTAAGAGGGAATAATGATTAAATATATATGTATACATATGTATATATGCCTGCCGATAGATGTTTCCCTCCCCCCCCCCCCCAAAAAAAAGCAATTAATTACTCATCTTTTTTTTATTTATAGATTTCCCTAATTCCAAAGAGCGGTAACTGAGGCACCAGCGAAGCTTTCTCGTATTTCTGTTAATACCTGTATCCATTGGTGAATATCGTGCACTCCTGCTGACCAGGCTCCACGTAGATTACCAACTTTGACTAGGTTCAGTCTCGCTCTTTCTGGTCCATGATTGGCGTCCCACATGTTAGAAGCTGTCAGGCTAGAATCTGGAATGGTCCCACTTTCAAGGCCAAGAGCATTGACATCTAACGATAATGATAACGATGATAATGACAATGACACTAATAATGTCCATGATAATGGAATTGTTTATGTAGCGAAGGTCAACTGAGAATCGGAAATCACAAGTTCATAAATTGAAGTTTTATATTAACTATATGTATAAAGTTACAAGCTAGGAAGTTATGTATATCTGTTTTATAATATGGTTTCAAGGTGATAACTCAGGCTCTACCTGTCTACACATTCGATCAATTAAAATATGTTTTAGAAGAAAATATGATAATATCTTAGTGTTCCACTCGCGATGACGAAAGCCACAAAGACACATTCATTTTTATTTTACTTCCTACACCCCCTCCCCCCTCCCCCGATTCAGTCTGCTCTACTCCCTCTTTTGGTATTATAACGGTGTTGGGATGTTATTAATTATAATTAAAGATCAGTCGATATTTCCTTCATCAGACGAGGAGCGTTAATCGTTTTTGATGTATTAATTGATCTATCTACATATCAGGTCATGTTTTGCATTTTAAGGCAAAATGGACAGAGTGGTGGAAAGGGAGGATGAAAAAGAGAAACATGTGGGTAAAGACAGAGAGATGAATAGAGAGGGTCTTACCATCGAATATCACGGGGAACAGTGAAGGGGCAACAATAATTGGCGTATAAGAGAAAGTAGGAGAGGAAATTGGAGAGCGTAAGGGCAGGAGAGGACAATAGAAAGAAAGAGGTGAGATAATTAAAGGAAGAGAGGTGCGGGCGGGTAGGGACAGGGTGAGAGGAGGGGTCTAACCATTAAATGTAGACGTATTATACAAACTATAATAAAGAAATCGAGGGGAACAAGAGGGGAAGAGAGGAGGGGAGACAGTGTAAGAGAGAGGGTGCTAGAAAGGAAAAATGGAGAGAGAGATGGATAGGAGGAGGAGAAGTCTTACCGCTGAATGTAGTTTCTTGTGCCAAAGGAGAAATCAGTCGACTGAATACTATAAGTGTACAAAGTACAACTTCTCCCATCTGCAAGTGAATCAATTTGTCATCCAAAAATTGAAAATAATATCATTTCAATGAATGAGATATCAAGTGATAGGTAAGTGGCAAACATACAGTAATTAAATTCGCGTATTTTTTTCCAAATTTGTTTCATTTTATTTCAAGTACATTGAAAAATATATTTCTGCATAATTTATTCGCGTGGTAACGCAAGTCATAAATCCCATAAAACATGTTGCTGTACAGGCGGTCCCAAAGATTATTTATATAATAATACGAACCGGACTCAAAAGAATGCCTGCTGTCATTCTAAGTCTGGATGTCATGAAAGCATTTAACATATTGATCTCTTTTAGTTTCGGTTCTAAATTTACAAATTATAGCTAGGTGCTCCGCATATAGACTAAAAAGCTGTGTAATTAACCAAGAATTATCTTCAGGTTACTATCCTGCTACGAGAAGTGTCAGACAAGGGGATGCCCTTTCCACATAAAACTTTTTCTACTTGTCATAGAAGTGTAGGCGTTATATATTAAACAATATGAAGAAATTTCAGGAGTTACGATACAAAGGCCATAAAGAAATTCAACTTAGAGAAAGAAAATAATTGTTAAAAATAAATAGTGAGAGTAAAGGAAACAATTAATAACCACAATTCCTATCAACGTGTAAAACAAAGTCATTTTCGAATTCAAGTTCAACAAACGATATTAAACCTTATACAAATAAAGTCATTTACGAGTTTTAACATAACCGAGTAAATATTAAGATTCATGAAGATTATAGCGGGAAAGAGAGATTGGTGAAAGAAGAAAAATAAAAAAGGCATTGAGGAGGAGAAAGGAATGAGAAACAGATAAGAAAGGCAGAGAAGGAGAAAGGGCATAAGGGCTATAGCATGAATAAAAGACAATTCCTAAAGAAATATGACAATTGATTATGGAACCGAATGTACATAAAGAGCTGAAAACTGAAAACTGAAAACGGGTCATTTTCCGGACTTATGGTTATATATTATATATATTATATATATTATATATATATACATATATTTGTTTCTGCGGTTATATTTCTTCAAGATATAAAAAGACAGATAAATTAATACTAATTAAAATAGTAATGATTTACAAGGGAAAAACCGTCAGGTGTATTGACCTACTATCCAATATCCCGTTTGAAGTTCATTTGTAATATTAGTTCACAATAGGCAAGTAAGGAAAGGGTTTGGACTATATCTGAGTCTTTTAGTTCCCGCAGGTTCACACATTTGTCAGCGTTCCTACACACAGAGAAAAAGAGTTTTAAATTGACTCCCTGTAGGGAGTAACTGCTTGTCGCATAAGTGACACCCCTCAGGGAGTAAATTTAATCCCCAATGCAGGGTGTATTTTTTTTCAATAAGAAGGTGTAAATTTGTACCCAAAGGTTATGATTTTACTCCCTTTAAGGAGCGAAAGTTGCACCCAATGGTGCTTAATTATCACATTTTGGTTCCATTTTCATGGATTTTATACCCTTTATGATCGATTCCACACCCTGTGGGGAGTAAATCTACACCCTTCTAATGCACAGCATCAACCAATTGATCATCCCTCAATTATCCATTCTTTGTAAACACCTAACAGTCACTGATTCTCACCCTTTTGTCTAACGTTTCACTGCCCTAAAGAAATCAGACCAGAATGTCGAGTTATATGTCGAAAGGCTTTAATGCTTACCTAAACAACAGTAAGTGTGAACTCAACACAAGTGCAGACTGTAAGAACTAACTTATGGCTGGACGTTTCAAATGTAATGGAATTACCTAAATACACAATCCTGCCTTATCGAAAATCTTCCCTTTACTTACACGTATAAGAAGACAATATTATTATGTAGTAGTTAGTAAAACAACACTTCTGCTAATTTCATCAAATTATCAAATATAACTTACGGTACAACCACTTATTCTTGATCGGATAACACAAATAATATGCCTAAATGAAACATGATAATTCCCCTAACATGACTAAAATATGTAAATTATGTTAATTTTCCTTCATTTGGCAGTACCTATATCGAAACGATGCGCCATTGCTGTAGCGCATGCGCATATTCATTGACCAATCAGAGCTCATCTGACTAAAATAGGGTGTACAATTACATCCCTCAAATAAATACCCTTGCGTATTTCCGTGTTTTACTCCCTAAAAGGAGTAATAGGGGGCGCCCTATTTATTCAATTTCGATCTACTCCCCAAGAACACCTTTTATTTCTCTGTGTGTAGTGTTGTAATCATTTGTTCTACGCGGGAGCAACAGTTAAGTGAAGGGGCTTTGACGAAGAGGCAAGCATTGATTTATTGAATGAGACACATAGACTCTTCCTTCTGTCACTAAGGGTTGGTAGCTGTATTAGACCATTTTCGTAAACCAGTTAAATTAATGAACACAATCTTTGTTAAGTGCCTCGTTACGAATAATTGTATTTCGATAGTCAGAATATATGGTGGTGGTTATTTTTTGTTTGTTTACCTGACTGCTAAGAAAGTATAAATGCTTGTAAGTAAGCAACCAGGCGGCTGACGGCTTTAGGTCCTCTCCGAGGGACCTGGTAATGAGGATTAATGCCTTATCAAAGGGCACTAGCGCATCGCCTTGGTTTCGAACCCGGGTCACCGGATTACGAGACCACTGCTCTACCGACTGAGCTAACGCGCCTCCTGAGCTATCGTGCATACATTTCGTGTTGTTAGGTAGGACAAGCCATAATGTTTTACTACCTACCAACAATCGATGTATGCAATTCGCATTCTGACTATAAAAATAAGATTATTCATAACATAGTAATTTGTAGCGAGGCACTAATAAGGATTTGTGATTAGAATACAAAAATTATCTATTGATCGATAGCATCTGAGTAACGCAGATGATCTAGGCAAGCGCGGTTTTGGAGACGCTCTATTGAATACAGTCTGTTGCTTCAGGATGCCGCCCGCCCGCCCGGCCTCAAACAGAAAATTCAGGGAAGATCGAGCGTCTTCCAAAGTGTGGGCGAGCATCAACAAAATGGGCACTTTCTGGAAAAAGGACACCTACCAAGGAAAGCCTCAAAGCGAAACATATGCAATGTATAGATATTATTATATACCCTTACATTGATATGATTGGGATTACATTATCAGAGATGATATCAATATTAGTTTCTCTCTTCACATGGTGTGGAATCGATCATAAAGGGTATAAAATCCATGAAAATGGAACCAAAATGTCTTAATTAAGCACCATTGGGTGCAACTTTTACTCCTTAAAGGGAGTAAAATCATAACCTCTAGTGTTGTATATCGAATAACCGAGAGATAAAGAATGACATAATATATAAAGCATTCCCTGACGTTTTATTTTCAAGCCTTAGGAAACTGATGGTACATCAGTCGCGTTACCTCTAGATGTGTTCTGGATTAATAACCAAGTTGATTTTAGAAGCACATCTAAGCAGCAGTTATAAAAATATCTCTGTATTAGTGGTAATTGATTATATTGTATAATGCTGATTACTGATATGTAAAAGTTATGCCTTGAAACTAAATAATGCTATGCCATTGGATTACGGAATTGAGGAACTTCTTGTAAATAAAAGTTTGATTTGTTTGCTTATGGCCCATGGCTGTTTATTCGATGAACTTTTGATGGCTTCCTGTAAAAAACTTTGCTACCATAAATGTTAAAACAGAAACTATAAACAAAATACCATATCGAGAAATATAGAGAGTTTGGTTTATCAATGTACTCTTATTACTGACATTATATCCTGACATTTATTCTACTACATATTTAGACAAAAAGTGTAAATCGAAATATTGTAGAAGCGTCAAAGTATTGGCTTGTTAATCCTTTCCACTGAATCCACGATCTTTCACGAATAATATTCAATTGTGTTACTAGTAGCTAACCCCCCCCCCCCCCGCCCCGTAAGAAAGATTTCATGA